GTTCAGACGTGTGCTCTTCCGATCCCCCAAAACCCCAAAACCCCTTAAGGATAGGGATTAAGCAATTATGTAATCTTAAAGATTAAATTTAAACTGAATGAATAAATAAATCCTCAATAATGTCTTGGGCAAGAGTACTTGTTTTTCTCAACAAATTAAGACTTGAATTCAGTCTGAGTAACATGGGGTACGTTTAATGTAGAAACCAACTATAAGAATTTTAAACTAGAATTATCACTTACCTCTTCCATTGGAGGATGAGCTTTAGATTTAGGAAGTTAGTATGCATTCTTGAAAGCTTCTTGACTAGTTGACTTTGCTAAGAATGGGGCATGAAGTAATCCTGCAAATTCCCCTCTTTAGTTTCTCTTTTTCATATCCTCATAGAACTTATCATCATATTCTCTTTCAAAATCAGGAGGGAGCTACTTACCCTCTGGCTTGTTGAAATCTGCATAGTATGTTGATTTGCCATGGAACTTTGAATCAAATGGCATTTTTCTAATTTCTCTCACTCTTTCAAATGGCTTCGCTCCCCAGTTGGCGTAGGTCGTGGAATTAGTAGTGGAGTTTATAAACAATGGATTACCTTAGAAACCATTATCTTCATTCTTTGGTATAGGTTGAACTACATAAGGTCTGAAATCTGACTTGAAGATTGATTGACCTTCTTGAGGTGGATTGAATCTAATCTTGACGTTTCTCTTCTCATTATCTATGACAAATTACTTCTGCTTTCCGTGTCCATTTTATAACTATTCTGGACTATTTTTAAAATCTTTTTTGTATAAGGTATTCACACATCTTGGATACTTATAAGATAGATTCTTATCTTGTTGACCCTTAATGCTATCAGCACAGCATGTGCAAATTCCAATATTATCACCAAAATACTCTATCAAAAATTAAATATAAATTGAACTACTTTCAATAGGTGTATTCACATATTTTTGGAAACCAACTGTTGACTCCAGATTGTTTTTAGTATCAGAATTAGCTATAGTATGTCTGTGCTAGTGAATCTGTAAAGTTTTTACAACTTATATATTTTACTTGCTAGTTTTGTTATTATTGCTAATCCTATACTTATTATTCAATTTCTCCGATTTCCCTTTGACTAACATTTCTAGAGAGAGCTCTAACACTCTTCATAGCACTTCCTTGCGCAAGGGATTATACAGTTGCAGGTCTCTATATTAAGTTAATGTTTTTTTATGTTTCTGAATGATAGGCATTTTGCTGTTCTAAATTTGTATCTTGCTTACTGAAAAATTTCCTGACTGTAAAGTTTGCTTGAACTGATACTTTTGCTTTGAGGGGTGCAATAAAAACTAGTGATGACTTGGAATGTTCTTGAATGACTCAGTCTTCTTGAATAATGGTGAAGTCTGAGGGTTTTGGAAGAACTGTCCATACGATGTTTAATGATACTATAACATGAGTTATCAAACTTATTCTTGAAATGTGAAATGTTGCATACATTATTTTGTCTCTTAGATAAGAAATCTTAAATCTTTGTAGGATTGTTATCGGGACTCATTGGAAGCTTCAAAGCTGATAGTGTGCGAAGATCTTGCTAACTCAAAGAATTTTGCAAGCTTTTCATTGGAGTCTATGACATTTATTTTATTTTGAGTTAATTTATAAAATATAAAGGAATAATTTATTTAAGAGGATTTAACTTAATTCACAACCGTAATAAATAAAATATAAAAATCAATAGAATTTCACATTCACAAGCTTCGGAATTCTATCTATACTTAAAATTAATTATAAAGTGCTATCTTAAGATAATGCAGATATTAGATGCTATCAAATGCATTTGATGAGATCATAAGCGTAGATTGCTTTTTCTTAGAGTATTATTAATAGCTCCCATACTTTTTCTTTGCTCGAGAATTATCTTAAGTTTTTCTGCCATTGGTTTTTCATCTAAATTTTCTACCATATAAGACTTCTATGAAACAAACTTTCTGCTGTAATCTTATAATTTTACAGCTTGCTAGCTTGAGGATCTATTGGCTGGTACTTTTGAAATTAACTTATTTTTGGCAGGTTACTGCGGAATTTTACTTGCTTAGACATTGAGGGAATTCTTTTTCAAGCAGAAGTTTAAGTTATTGATCATTTTTACTGCAATATCTGGAACTATAGGAGCTTGAAACAATCTCTACTGTTTTTGATAAGATATTAAATCGGAGTTATGTCTATTGCTAACTTAGGCAACTCTTTCAAACATTGATACATACTAAGGCTTCTGCTGAGCTAAATTTGACCTAGTTGAGAATTGTTAAGTCTTTGCAGGAGATAATTTTTTCTTCGAGGATGAATTACTTTATAAGAATATTTATGCTCTTTAAAAGGATTTCATATCTACATAAGGCATTTACTGTTGCTGTTAAAATTAATAAGAAGAATCCCTCTAAGCAGATGAGATCATTTCAAAATTGGATGGACTCATCTGAACTTTATTAAATGGACTTAAGTCATTGTGAATTTCAGTAAAGTTACTGTACACATTATTAAGTTCAGGAACTATTTCTATGTTTTCCTTTGTGAATGTGCCTGTATTCTCCATCTTAGAATCTCGATTTTAATTAATTGTCTAAAGTTTAGGTTTCATCTGTACCCTTCCATAAAGCTATTTAGTGTCCTAAGCCTATAGATATTATTTTAAAGGGCAATTCTCACTATCTAAGCTTTCTTAGCTATTTTAGTCTATTTAGTTTAGTATTAAAGGATTTCTTTACAATTCTATCTGCTGCTTTGCAGGTGATTAAGGGGATAAACTCTTAAATTTTTATGTGGTTTGATAGTTATCTTGATTGAGCGAGAAATACATAGTGTCATTCTTTTTGGATAAGTTGCTGAATTAAAGCTTTGAATTAGAGGATTTTAAAGATGACTATATTTTTTCCAGTGTTTACTCATTGGTATTCAATTGGTTATTGAATAACACCTTAGGATCGAGGTCTGAGGCAGTATCAGTTAATATAAAATTATGGTTTGAGAGTCCTTAATAGATCTATTGCTCATTGTAAGGTAATTCATAGCTTTCGCATTAGGATTCTTAATTTATATACTACTTTCTGTCTAGATCCATTAGCTTCTTTTATTAAAATTACTGCCATTATTCATGTAAATTACAAAGCCTTTGATTATCATTATCGATTTCTTATGTTTATGTACTTTTTTGAATTTTTTCTATCGCAACTCTATTAGCACTATTGCTGCTGAGCGATCTAGAGTGCCCCTCAATATTTTTCCATGTAGATTAAGCCTTCCTTAGCTTTATCCTGTTCTAAAATATGTTCCCTGCAGACTTAGACCTTTTATTCTTCAAATTCAAACTGTAACTATTATTTTAAGATAATGGCCTTTGCTGTTAATTTTGTTATTAATGATTTGAAGAGTTTCTTTGCAAGGACTGCACTTAGGTTGACATTGAATTTCAGCGAACACTTGAAAAAGCATTGCTAGCTATGCTCTATTAATATGATTTAAGCTCTGACATCGATTTGAGACTAGTGGCATGCTTAGCCAGGTAAGTAAAGTAGCTAGTTGATTTTGAGAAAGATGATTGCTAACTCTCGTTGATGAGTAGTTGTTATCTGTTTAAATTCATTTTAAAACTAACTCTTTATAATTAAATTTTAAAATCACAAAATAATTAAGAGGTAAGCAACCAAAACTCCTTTTAAAACCTCAAGATTTCCAAAGAGCCAAAGTAGTCCCTAAGTTATATACTTTGCGTTGATAGGAAGTCTGTGAGGTGGGGAGTTGAGTAAAGTTTTAGTGATGAATGATGTGTCTCGTTCGTCTGAGAAAAGACCAACTTAACAATGATGTGTAATTATCATCACCCATAACCTGACACTTTACTCAACTGTGGCATTTCTTTGTGTATGCTTGCATGCATTTAGAATTGCTACACCCCAATATGATACAAATTTGATTAAAATATGGGAAATTAATCATTTACTTATAGGTTCGTGTTTTGATAGAGACTTTGTGAGATCTATTGCTAAATATCTTTAGCGATAAATCATCTCAGCTTTAACTTGAATTCTTCAAGACAAGGTAAGTTGGTTTGAAAACCTTCAAAATGCGAGCGAGAATGATGAACAAACTTAGGACACCTTCTGATGTTGGCCGCCACCAACAAGTGAGAGGAAAACAGTTTTTACCCTTTATCCTGAAATTTCACGCACAATTCGCATATCTTTATAAATTGTCAATTTTGAGCAGCCATATTTATTAAATTCCTCTATAGGTAATATGCAAATACGAACGAACCTTAATCATTGAACGTGAGGTTAATATTTAATAACCACAACTAACCTAATTTCAATTAAAATTCAATCTATTAATTCTAAGCTTAATACTAAAATGCTATCATGCGGGGTTTTGGGGTTTTGGGGTTTTGGGGAGATCGGAAGAGCACACGTCGT